TTGACATGTCCGGGTTCTGGACTTTAAAATCCGGGGTTTTCCCGCATCTTGTCCTGGTTTCTAAATTTTAGAGGTGGCAACCCTATATATATATTGATATTACAATTCACAGTTATTTTTCTTTTTCTGTTAATAAATATGTACAATTTGTAGTTTTTCTCTCTATTAAACTAAATAACTAACCAAAATAGAAAGTTGTTTAATTTCTAAGACTATGCTTTATATGACGCCCGCTTAGTATGACGTGTTTGTCATTTCCCTTTGATGTCATTATAAGCGGATTTTACTGTATAACCATTCTCACAGATAATTTATTGAGGACTTTGTCAACTTTGATTGTTCCAACTATAGTTGCATATACATCTTAAGTTTTTGGAGGGGACAGTAGACGTACAATAGAAGAAAAAGTATTAAGCAAAAGTATTACTTAAAAAGCTGTTGTTCATTGTGTTTATTTTATTGATTAATAAATTTTTGATTTCGGCATCTACTATGAAATTACCCGCACGTTTTCTCAGATGAGTTTGGCTTACCTCATTTCCAGTTGTAAATGTGATCCTTTTTTATAGGAGTGTAATTTACTGAGTATGTTTTTACTTCCTTCTTTTCCCTGAATCATAAATTTTTTAGCTTCTGTTTGTAAAAAATATTGGTTTAGAATTATGTGTTATACGTATTATTAACCAAAGTTTCAATGTAAATGAAGTTTCTATTTAAAGTTTTTGTAGAGGTTAGAGATTCATTAGATTCAATAATAAAGGGTAACTTCAACAATAGTTTCATTAAAGAAATAGGTACTAATTGAAACATTTCTTCTTTTGCTTCTTCTAAAATGTAACAAATTTTTAGTGGGTGTCTATGCAAAATGTCAAATATAAATCAAAGACAGTCATAGCCTATGAAGAGCTAAGAACTAATATCTTTAATTTATCGTTCTATTTATTTCGGCAGTATGGGAGTTTTTTTACGTAAGCTAGAGGAATGCAAAAACAGTTCCTAGCATTTGAAATTGAGAAATTGTGCGTTTATGATTATGAAACTAAACCATAATATTTCGACCTTGCTACTGCACTTAGTTTCGATTACACAAAGTTTCGGGGTAAAGTCGTGATACGATGAAGTCACTACGACAATGCCGCGCGGAGAAATCGCAAGTATGTCGCCGGCCTTACAATTGATGAAAAATAAGCATTTATTTTAGAAATATAAAAATAAAATTNCATTACATTAATATAATTAACAAATTTACTATTTCCAATTAATATCATTTTATTACAACTCTATTAGAAGAATGTATTTGAATTTCAAGTTGGTGTAATAAACCTCAATATTCAGTATATAGGTAGCAGCTATGGGTTCTCATCTTGTATCTTTTATTTAAAATTGTCTACTACTCTATGACATATTTTATTTTAAAACTATCATTTGAAACTAAATGATTAAAAATCGATGGTATGTCATTGAGGAGCTTATAGGTTTCATATCTTATTTTTTTTCTGTTTTTCAAGTAGGATTATGTAACTGAATCCACATAGACGAGTGTATATTTTGCTGGCTTCTACAGTTAACTTATTGATAAAAAGGCTTACATCTAAAATTATAATGATAGAAATTTTTGTTAAATTAAACCCATATATTGATATTACATAATTTGAACGCTGTTGTTGATTTAACATCTTCCATCCGCCAGGTTTGATAATTCACCTTCATGGATTGTTTATCGACCTTTTGTGATGGTCCAGATCCGGCGTGTTCAATTAGGCGGAATTGGTTTGTAAAGGATTTAGAGCTCGCGCAATAATTAACATGTTCCTGAAGAAGAAACTGTTTCATATCACTCTTGTTGGAATCTTATTAATTGTAAGCCTACCTTTTTACAGGTAATTATGTAATAGGTGCTTAAATCCTTAAATGAAGTTCGAATCTCTTAAATCTCATGGAGAAATTTCGTAATTCGTAATTTCATATTAGTTAAATATAAAAAATCTTTACAAAGATGTTTCATAAGCACAGTTTGTATAAAATGCATACGTAGGCATGAAACAATATTATTTTGTAGTAAAAATACTAATAAAAGTTTATTAAACAATTATTAATTTACTGGAATTAAGCTTTCACATACTTACTGTCGCTCTTTGTTTTTCCAGGTGAATGTATAGGCAACTAATTTTACGATTATGAAGTAAGGAAAATGATTTGAGTGTAGCGATTTCATAAAATGCCTACTGCTCTTGAAGAAGACCTTTTTGTAGAGAATAAATTATAATATACACTTTGTATACCTAATACTTTTGTTATTTACAGATCCTAACAGGAAAGCATTTCAGATTTTTGGAAAATGTGTGTAATTTAGAAAACAAATCTCCCTATATTTTATGAAAGCTTTGTTGTTGACCATAAAATAATACTGGTTATAAACTTATACCGTTTTTATTGTTAGATACCACGATTACCACACATCACATTTTTCAATTTCTATCTTAGTTGCGAAGTTGCTGTATTTATGAAGTTTATAAATATTAGTCGTTCTTAGTAAGGATTGTCTCAAAATGATTAACTCATATTTGGTCTTGATAATAATGAAAAGATAAGAAATTTCCAAATGTTGACTTTTAAAAATATTTATATATAAGATGATTCTTCAGGGAGTAGTTGCTGTAGCTCCTTTTTTGTGCTCGGTGTGTTGTTGGATAAAACCAGTTAAAAGATGCTCAGAAATTTATTTTTTGAATCCTTAAATGGGAAATATCTAGAAGCACTGTTTCAAATGTGCCTCAAAAACATGACCTACTTCTATTATTAACATTACTGAAGCTAAAATTGTTGAAAATATAAAATTTCTATTCTAGTTTATTTAGACTTCATTTTCAAATTTCAGACTTTTAAAAAATCCATGAAATTTTATTATATACAAACTTTTAAATACGTTAAGCCCATAATATAGCTCTAGTGGTAACTTCTTCCCGGACAGAAAAGAAAGTGCTGCTCCTTAAGAAAATATATAAACTTTTTAAATAAATGTAGGGGAGACTGGGGCTGGTCGTGACATTTTTGTTATAACGTGTCGCAATTTTTTGTTTGTTTGATTGTTTTACCGGAATGTAGGTTTGTTTGATTAAGTAACTATTTGGGTTATTAACTTAAAAACAATTTTAGATACCGGACTATTAGAAGAGACATAAATAAATAAATTCTGGGAAAAGAGACGTGTAA